TGTGTGTGTGTGTGTGTACCTGTGGTTGTGTACTGGTGTGTGTGTGTGTGTGTACCTGTGGTTGTGTACTGCGTTGTGTGTGCTTAGCAGTGTGAGGTCACTCAGTCTCTCCTCAGCACACTGAGCGGTGAGTCGAGCTTCAGCGTCTTGATCCCAACAGTCCTCCATCGTGTCCTTCAGGGAACGCAACGCCTACAAATACACAAAGCCAGGGACACAGTACTACTGACAGAACAGGTGAGAACAGGTGAGGACAGAACCTGTGTGGACAGGAACACTAACCAGGCTGTTTTCCTTCCAGGCTTCAGGGAATCTGGGTCTGAACTTCTCTCTGGCGACGAGAATCTGCATCTCTTCAAAACTGGGATGGTTCCCGAGCTCGGCCTGGAACGCTAGCTGGTACTCAGGTACTGCTTCACCTGTACACACATCAGGTACATTATTATGTAGTACTGATACTAGTACTCAGTTTCATCAATACGTCTGTACTTTGACTCATGATTCACGTGTGATTCTATGTATTTACATAAGAGGACAGGTGAGGACAGAACAGGTGAGGACAGAACAGGTGAGGACAGAACAGGTGAGAACAGGTGAGGACAGAACAGGTGAGAACAGAACAGGTGAGAACAGGTGAGGACAGAACAGGTGAGAACAGAACAGGTGAGGACAGAACAGGTGAGGACAGAACAGGTGAGAACAGAACAGGTGAGGACAGAACAGGTGAGAACAGCTGAGGACAAAGTACTTGTGGTATTTGACTTTCATACATGGTACTGTGTTGTGTGACTCACCTGTGAACAGGTGAGAGCACCTCCTGAAGCTCTCCCAGTAGAGCAGCCCCAGAGCGTAAACATCCACCTGCTTCAGCGCCGACTCACAGTCCCGAAGGTTCAGAGCTCCGCCCAGAACCTCCGGAGCCATGTAGCGCACCGTCCCCACCTGTAGACACACACACAGGTGAGCCTTCACGTCTCTGCTCACACCTGTGGACATCACCTGACACCTGTCACATGACCTCGCCTCAGATATCGCCACAGTGTCGTCGTCTCCGGGGCGACAGGGACGACTTCCTGTCAGATTCATGGACAGACCGAAGTCAGCGAGGACGCAGGACAGATCGGACCGGACCAGGACGTTCCTACTGGTCACGTCTCTGTGGGCCACTGCTGGTTTATACTGGTCTGAGGGGGGGCAGAGGAATGTGGAGGAGACAGAAGAAACAGAAACAGTTCCTCCAGTCACCAGCAGGGGGAGCAGTGATGTTCACCATGAAACACTACAACTAATCTACAGAGAGCTGTTTGTTCATTTACCTCTTAAGCTCGGGCCCTATTTGTAGGCCTCTGCTCGAAAATGGCATACCCATACTAAAGTGACCAGAGTTCTGTAACTACAAGGTCTATTTTAATAATGTTTGATGCTATAATCAGATAACACTTTGAGATTGTTCAGATGGGTAAATATTGTGTATATGTTGCTGGTTAATATAGTACATGAAGATATTACACAGCTCATCGTTATCATTGTCTGGATGGCCGAGCGGTCTAAGGCGCCAGACTCAAGGTGATGAACCTTCCGCAGAGTTGGGACTTCTGGTATCTGAATGGAGGCGTGGGTTCGAATCCCACTTCTGACAATAGTTTGGGGGACGACTGGGGCTCACTGGGTTAAGAGGGTTGTCTGGTAACCGCAGGGTCAACGGTTCGATCCTCGACTGGGACGTGTCACGTGTTGTAGTGTCCCTGAGCAAGACACTGAACCCCTGGCTCCCCAGGCGCCTATCATTGGCAGCCCACTGCTCCCTATATACAGGGATGGGTCAAATGCAGAAGGCAAATTTTGTGTATATGACAATAAAAATGTTTTCTTTCTTTTCTTGGTTTCTTTTCTTTCTTCAGATTGAAAATATTCAGGTTCGCCTGAAAAAAAAGCACTTTTATTGATATTGTGTTTTTGAAATAATGCAGCTGGCAGCCTAAAAACTCGTAGAATCGTATACGATCCTATACGATCAGTAGTCGTAGAATAACGTTTGGCTGGGATAAAGTGAAGAATAAGAGGCTTTAGTACAGAGAGGTCACGCGAGGTCATCATCCTGGAACCAGCTGTTGCAGCTCTTACATTGTACTTTTATATACTATATAACTATATATTTCACTTTTTTATCACTCATATTATTCAATACATCCAAATACAGCTGTTTAGAATCATTTTGAGAGCCAGGTTGCTGTCAGAGCCTGTCTCTGGCTCTCATCCATAGGATTTTCTCAGTGTGTATGGGTCTGTAGCTCAGCCTATCATTGGTCGATTTCAGTCAATGAGCCCGCCTTCGACGCGTCAGAGTCTCAGGAAGGCGGGTGTCAAAGCGGCTGTTGATTGACAGAAGTTTCAGCGAGTAACGTTGCAAGAAGTGCCGCGTATCCCCGAGCATAAAATTCCATTGGCCGAAAGTCAGACAGGATGCAGTTGCCAACAACGATTGTAGGTCCGAACCGGATCATTTTCGATGTTATTGTCATAATTTTTCATAAAACGTGACCAAAAACCAATGATTTTTTTCCGGTGAAGGGCAGTGCCATGGTACCGTTGTCCACTCACAGCTTTCTACTGGTTTCACGGAGAGAAAAACCGAAGGTATTTATGCATTCTGTGTCGAATGCTAATGCTAAACGATGTGCGGGTTAGCCGGCTAGCCGCTAGCTTCGTGGTGCAATATTGACTTGCAGTACACATAACGGCGATTTTTGGCCAGAAATTCGTCCTTTTATGCCACTTTTTCTAGATGCTTATATTAGTAGTCTATAGTTGTGTTTGGAGTGTGTAAGAAGTGAATTATATGATAGTGTTGCCCATACGTTGCTGTTTAATCCGGTAAAAAAAAATGTACAACTCCACAATATTGGCGAACAATAAGTCCATTTCCCGAACAATTTTTTCAGGGGGGCTGAGCCCGATAGCCCCCAAATTCGGGGGCGTCGTGCTTAAGAGGTTTTAATACCTCAACACACACACAGGAGAATATACTAATACTGATAATAATAATAATTATTATTATAATAATAATACTGATAATAATAATAATAATAATAACAATAACAATAACAATGATAATGATAATACTAATTATTATAATAATAATACCTCCTCTGTAGAGTTCAGTGTGCAGGAAGGCAAGTCCTCTCGTCACTCCATGAGTCATCCTGCAGCAGGTAGACCAGTCCACTGTGTGGACAGACAGGTAGCGAGACAGACAGCCCTGAGACAGACAGACAGACAGAATCTGTAACTATAGATGAAGAGAACACACCTGTTTGTCTGTTACAGGTGCAAACACTTTAAACAGTTGAAATATGTGTGTCTGTATCTAAATATATATATATATATATATATATATATATATATATATATATATATAATAATGAATAATAAGTGAGACAGACAGTCAAGCTGGTAATTATTGTCTGACTGCTGCAGACGAATGCAATGAACCAACCTGTGTGTGTGTGTGTGTGAGTGTGTGAGTGTGTGTGTGGGTGTGTGTTCCAGACAGGAAGTAGGACTGAAGGCTCCGTCTTCCAGCACAATAACAGGATTGCAGGAGTCAGACAGACGGCTGTTTGCCCCCTACAGGCTGCAGAGAGCATTACAGCCTCCTGATCACTTCAGTTATTATCTACTATCTATAAATGAGCTGCAACACCAACATGATGAACACATTAGTGCATCAATGAATATAATATAATATAATACTGCACAGTGGGTACTTGTACTTTTAAGAATACTTCTACCAGAGTACTCTTACATGTGGGTAGAACTCCATGAGGATCAGGAACTCTGGTCGTCCGTCGGAGGCCGTCCTCTCGTCAGCGGTGAGGAAGCGAGCAATGTTGTCATGTTGCAGCAGCAGACGGTAGACGGAGCGCTCGTTGGAGAAGTTCAGCCGGTTGGACGAACTGAAGAGTTTAACAGCCACACAGCACTCGTTAAGACAGCCACGAAACACCGAGCCGTAACGACCTCGACCAATCAGCTGTCGGGAGGAAGGAGAGGGTCAGGTGCTCTGTTCTCTACCTGCTCAGGTACTCTGTACTCTACCTGTTCAGGTACTCTGCTCTCTACCTGCTCAGGTACTCTGCTCTCTACCTGTTCAGGTACTCTGTTCTCTACCTGCTCAGGTACTCTGTTCTCTACCTGCTCAGGTACTCTGTTCTCTACCTG